GGGTGTCAGTGAGGAGGCCTAGGTAATCTATTGAGCCTTGGACAGCAGATCAGTACCCATCCCAAGTATACACACGGTCTCTGGACCCCCATAGAACAATGTGAGGTGCACTCTCACCCTGAACTCTTGGGGAAGGGTCTAGGCCCTGCCCTATATGAAATGACAGACTATGGACACCCCCATGGAGGGCCTCACCCTCCCTGGGGGAATGAGGGGATAACGGGGGGGGGGATGGGGGAGGGCACAGGAGGAGGGGAGGGAAAGGGAGAGGAAACTCGTACTGACTTGTGAAGCAACCTTGTTTCTTATCTAAATTTAAAATGGAAAATAAAAAAAATATTAATAAAAAAAAAAAGAAATCACGGGAGCTCAGCTCTCATCCAGATTTATCATGAGGCCGGGCACTTCTGTGAGTCTCAGATGAGAAGGAAGTCAGTGCCTCTGTTCCAGCTGTAGGGTTTCCTCATTAGAAGACTTACCAGAAGCAGAATTGCAGTCTACATCTGAATGTGAACATGGAAATGACAAAAACCCCTGGTTCTTAATCCATGTGTGGCCCAAATGTCTACAACAGGTACAAATCCTGAAAACTTAGCTGCCCCCACTCAGTAGGGCAAAACAATCTGCAATTGTCAGATTTTAAATACCACATAAAATGTACTGTCCCTTAAAATATTGTGAGGAGAAAAAGCAAAACTAATGGCAAATTAATAATAATAGTAAAATTTAGATGACAGTTATGTGGTGCTCTTTGAGGAATACTATCCCCCCTACTTTTAAGTGTGGTTGGAATTTTCAGTATAAGAATTTTAATTTTAGGAGCTGGAGAAATGGCTTGGTGGTTGAGCATTTACCACCCTTGCAAAGAACCCATGTTTGGGTCCCAGCACCTACACAGCAGCTCTCAACTGCCTGCAACTCAAATTCTGTAAGCCCCATCACCCTCTTCTGTCCTCTGCCGGAAATGCACACATATGGTGTACATAATCTCCTACAGGCACACATATACATAAATTAAGTAGATTCTTAATTTAAAGAAATTAATTTAAGAAGCTAAGAAGATGGTTCCAACAGTAAAGTTCTTGCCTTACAAACATGAAGACTCAAGTTTGATCTCCAGAACTCTTGTCTTAAAAAAAAAAGCCAGGCATGGTGGTGTATACCTGTAGTCACATCACAGAAGTCTATACGTAAGGAGAACAGGATCCTTGAAATTGTTGGACATCAATCTAGCTTTCATGGCAAGCTCTCAGCCAGAGAAATGAGGCTAGACACAGTGGTGTTTGACTTTAATCCAGCAAAGTTTTCCCCTGGCCTGCACGCAAGCACACACACTCATACATACTTATATACACACACACTCTCACACACTCATACACACACACACACACACTACATGTTTAAAAATTCACAGAAGGTTGTTAGTAGGCTTTTTATTAAAAAAAATAGAGTAATAAAGTAATAAGCAAAACTTGGTTGTTTCCTTGGTTGATCATTTGATGTGTACTCAACAACTGACTTTTTTAAACTATGTGATGGCAATGAAAACCTTCCTTCCTCATAAATCTTACTGAACAGCCCGAAATTCATCTGTACAAACTACACATGTTGTATAGTAAGCTCAATTCATAAACTGGATACGTTGCTTAACAAACGATATGTGTGTGTGTGAAAAAGATGTATGCATACATATACATATACATATACATATGCATATACATATTCTTTAGAATCCTTTCCTTTATGGCTAGTCATTGACCATCATATTTAATCTTTAGTTTTATTAAGAGCAGCACCATTCTCCACTTAAAGATCTTATTTTGTCAAAATATAACATTAGACAATTCTGTATTCTATGAACAATGAAAAATCTGAACCTATTAAAGTAGCACTTTCAATTGTTCCAATGTATTATCGTATTCATAACCAAAATTTGCATGATTAAAATACCAACAAATTTTAAAAAAAAGGGTTAATCAGACATAATAGAACCTTGCCAGTTGTTTTTTACTTACATGAGAGCCTACAGGATCATCGTACAGTTGCACCTGGAGTATATCTTAAATGGTTTCATCCACAATGCCATTGAGATTTCTTGATTTCTATCACTCTATGTAGTGAAATCACACTGAAAGAAAAGACCTTGGTCCATTCACTTACGTTTCTATATCCATAACCTATAAGTACATATTCAATGAATAACAACTGGAAAAAGAACTCAAAATATTCTCATATGAACTATAATAATATGCAACATTGGAGTTACATTAGTCAAATTTGAATTTATTTTAGCAATTCACTAAATTAATCTAAAGTTCAACATTATAACATTTACTATATGATTCAAATATTATTTTACAGGTACCTAAACATCTATTAAAATGCAACAACTTGTGGGATGCACAAGTCCCTGCTCCTACCTGCTCTCCATTCATTCCTCCTCCATTTTTATTCACAAAATGGCAGAGCTCCTATGGATGCCAAGGAAGCATGGCATATGCAGTAAGACTAACCACCTCCTAATCCTAACTCTGGTAGTTTGAATTGGCCCCCATAATCTCAGGGAGTTGCACCATTAGGAGGTGTGGCTTTGTAATAAGTATGGCCGTGTTGGAGGAAGTGTGTCACCATGGGACTGGTTCTCGAGGTTTCCTATGCTCAGGGTACCACCTAGTGTCTCAGTCAACTTTTTGTTTTCTGCAGGCTGTAGGACACTCACCTACTCCTAAAGCACCATATCAGAATGCACAACACCATGTTCCCTGCCATGATGATAGCGATAATGGACTGAACCCCTGAAACTGTAATTGAGTCACCCTAATTAAATATTTTCATTTGCAAGATTTGCAATAGTCATGGCATCTCTTCACAGAAAAAAAATTCTTAACTAAGACAACCACTATTGTTATTTTAAAACACCTGGAAGAGGAGTCATGTCATACAACAGTACTCACATAGGAGGTTTATTGGAAGAGGAGAGAGAAGGGGCTGAAGAGGGACAGAGAGGGGGACAGAGACCAGTCCCTGGGGACAAGAGTAGTGGAAGAGAAAGAGAGAGAAAGAAAAAGAAAGATGGGAATGGGCAGGACCCTTTTAAAAGGGAACACAGTGAATGTGCACAGGAGGTGCTTTTAGTGGCTGCAGCTGAGGGTGTATCCTGTTAAAACCCCAAGAGTAGGCCGGTACAGATGCCTGAATACTAACAAGCACAGTATATTTGCAGAGTGACTAGTTCAGTCCCATGTAGACACCCTGTGTTAATCAGTTTAATCTCTGTGAGTTCCTAAGAGCCCAAGTGAGTTGATTCTGTGGGATTCCTTGTAATGTCCTTGACCCATCTTCCTACTTCACTTTTGCTGGATTCCTCAAGCTTGACCTGATGTTATCCTGTGAGTCTCTGCATCTGTTCCCACAAGTTGTTGCAGGAAGCATCTCTGATGACACCTGGACTAGGTATAGCAGACTAGCATTAAGAACCATTAAGTATCATTAAGTGGTGTCTGTGCCTATGGCTGGGTCAGAAGAGCAGCAGGTGACAAAGGACTTCAGGGTATCAGTCCACCAGCATGCAAGGCACTGATGGATGAATCTTGGATAAGCAAGGCCTTGAAGGCTTTGTCTTTTGTTACTGCTGTGTCTTTACATGTTTGCTGCTGCCATTTTTCCTCTGAATATGTGTGGGGGAGACTCCCCACTGTCTTTAATATAGTGTGATTATCTCATGGGAATATCCTGTTCTACTGGGCATTTTTACCTGTGGATAATTATGAAGATTATTACCTCCTATCTTAATGGGAAAACTAACATAGGTAAAATGTTATGGTGCTACCCCTACCCCTGATAAAACAAGAGCATCAGAGGATACAAATAAGAACAAGGAAATATCACAGCTAGTTTCTCTTGAGAAGTCATATAGACTGTGGCTTTGGTGAATGATTAAGAAAAACAACTGTGTCCCAGAAGTTAATAATTTAACTGCAGAGATGTGTTCATGAGTTTTGGTGTGCGTCATAGCTAAATGAAGCTTTATAGAACTTAAGGTCAGATTAAGATGTTTTTGTTAATATTTTGAGGTGTAGCAATCTAAAGTTTAGAAAGGCACATAGTTGAGTGAGGGACTCATTAAGGTCAAAGAAAAAGGAGGAAACAGCCCAGTTATTATTAGTTGTTAGGATGGGTTGGTTATCAAACAAGATAATCCCTTGCCCATTTCTGCCTTCAGCTTCTTAATATTAAAAAAAACTTTTAATAAGTGTGCATGGGCCTTGAGGGTTTAAAATAGAGGTGACTGTTTTTCATATGAAAAGTTTAGATTTGTGATTCTTTTAAGACTTCTTATAGGATTACTGTTTGAAATTGGTCCTTTGTAGCTGAAAAATGAAGCCTGTCAATAAAAGAACTGACTGAGACAAATGCCTTATTTGTTTACACAGTGTTGATTGGACATGAGTGTATGTGAGTTCTCGGGTATAATTTGTTTAATCATATAAGGAGTATGGAAACATGTTTTTAAATTATATTCACTGTAATCATTCACTTGAAAACATGGATTATAACCACATTAAGTTTTATACTGCTTGACAGGTTTTGTTGGAATATAAGGGAAAAATAAAGACATGAGATAAACACCAGGAAAGATGTAGAAAGAAAACACCAGGAAATAGTTAGAAGGAAGTCATCAGGAGAGAGACAAAAGGGATACATTTGGACAGAGATAAGAAACAAAAGCAATAAAGAACAGAGAAAAGTTTTTTTCTAAAGGTGTGCGTGTGTGTGTGTGTGTGTGTGTGTGTGTGTGTGTGTGTGTGTGTGTGTGTGTGTGTTTCTCCCCACTCTTTTGCCAGTCCTGGACAGTTAAGTTTTGTCTCATTTTGCTGGCCCCAAAGAATTAAGACTACAGGTCAAAGATTACGTGGCAGGGTTGGTGTTCCAATCCCTCCACTGGTGCGTTACTTGGAGAAAAAAAAAAAACTAGACATCATTTTTAAAAATGGGCTACCATGAGTTACATCAATCTGGCCATCGTGCTGCCCGGCTCCCCCAGCAAGACCCGGGGGCAGATCCAGGTGATCCTCAGACCCATGTTCTCAGGGAAAAGCACGGAGCTCATGATGAGAATCTGGCGCTTCCAGATCGCCCAGGACAAATGCCTGGTCATCAAGTACGCCAAAGACACGTGCTATAGCAGCAGCTTCTCCACGCATGACCGGAACACCATGGATGCCCTGCCGGCCTGCATACGCCGGGATGTGGCCCAGGAGGCCCTGGGTGTGGCTGTCATTGGTATCGATGAAGGACAGTTTTTCCCTGACATCGTGGAGTTCTTTGAAGTGATGGCCAATGCAGGCAAGACAGTGATCGTGGCAGCACTAGACGGAACCTTCCAGAGAAAGGCTTTCGGCAGCACCATGAACCTGGTGCCCCTGGCCGAGAGCATGGTGAAGTTGACTGCTGTGTGTATGGAGTGCTTCCGAGAAGCTGCCTACACCAAGAGGCTGGGCCTGGAGAAGGAGGTGGAGGTGATTGGCGGAGCAGACAAGTACCACTCCGTGTGCTGTCTGTGTTACTTTAAGAAGTCCTCGGTCCAGTCTGCTGGGCCAGACAACAAAGAGAACTGCCCGGTGCCGGAACAGCCTGGAGCGGGCCTCAGCTGTTAGGAAACTCTTCATCCCTCAGCAAGTCCTACAGCACAGCTCCACCAACTAAGAGGACCTGGGACTGCCTGACGCACAGTGTGCCCTGGACAGGCTCATGCACTTGTCGCAGCCTTTTTTATTCTCTTTCTTGGTTGCTGGGATGCTTCAGCCCACACTAGAGCCAGCGTCTGCATGGTGGTTAGGATTTGACATCCAGCCAGAGGTGAGGACAAAGGCACATGGTGTTGTGACATTGGAGGTGCCAGCTTCTTCCTGCTCGGTGGCTGTCACTCTTGCGGGCCCCACCCCCTACCTAGGCTCTGGCCTTCACAGCCCCCTCTCTGTGCTGAAGCTTGGCCCACAACGGCCCCTGGAGCCATCTTTACACATTGCGCACTGGTCTTGCCCTACTCGGAGGCCCAGTGCCGTGGCTCAGGACTCTTGGTGAGAGCCTGTGCTTCTTGTGCTATAGTGTAAAATGAACAATTAATGTTAAAGTTTGCTACTTGAAAAAAATGGGCTGCAGATCTAAACAGAGAATTCTCAACAGAAGAATCTTGAATGGCTGAGATACACTTAAAAAATATTCAAGATCCTTAGCCATCAAAGAAATATAAATCAAAATGACTCTGAGATTTCATTTTACACCTGTCCGAATGACTAAGTTCACAAACACAAGTGACAGCTCATGCTGGAGAGGATGTGGAGAAAGGGGAACACTCCTCCATTGCTGGTGGGAGTGCAAACTTGTATAGCAACTTTGGAAATCAGTATGGTGGTTTCTCAGGAAAATGGAAATCAGTCTACCTCAAGACCCAGCTATACCACTCTTGGGCATAGACCCAAGGGATGATCAACCATACCATAAGAACTCTTGTTCAACTTTGTTCAGAGCAGACTCATTCATAATAGCCAGAACCTAGAAAAAAACCTAGATGTTTGCCAACTGAATAATGCATAAAATTTTGGTACATTTTCACAAAGGAGTATTACTCAGTTTTTAAAAACTATGACACTAGGAAATTCAAATGCAAATGGATGGAGCTAGAAAAAAATTATACTGAGTGAGGTAACCCAGACCCAGAAAGACAAACATGGTATTTATTCACTTATAAATGGATATTAGCTGTAAAGTAAGGAATAACCTTGCGGCAATTCACAAACCCAAATAGGCTAGGCACCAAGGAGGGATCAAGTGGTACAATGTGATCTCCCTGAAGGGGAAGTAGAAGGGATTTCATGCATAGATTGGGGACAGGTGGAGATAGGAACATGAGGGATCAGATGGGTTTGACTTGTGGGGAAGGTACTGGAAGAGATGACTAGAAAGTTGGTCATTTCAGGGACAGCTTTAAAAATGGTACAAGGGAAACTTCCAGGAATCTACAAGGATGGCCCAGTTAATAGTCATAGCTCATGGGGATGTGTAGCCTGAACTGGTATTATTAACATATTTAACCTTTGGAATATCTCATGGAAACAGACTCTGCCATGGCTACATATAATCTTGAGATTAATAGGCATTCTTTCTATCTTTTCAACCATTTTATGCTAATGTGATCATTAGCTTCATTCACAGAATGTACAGTAATTAAATTCTATTGTTGAAAGAAGATAATAATGAATATCCCATGAGTAGGATAGAAGTCAACGTAAATCAAATTCATATTTAAAGGTTGCTTGCCTGAAAAGGAAATCTTGGGAGATTCAAATACCAAAGGTGGGTTTATGAGTAACAGTGGAGTTCCTTTGAAGGTGAATCTGTAATTAGGGAGAATATATCATTTGGCTTTTACAGCAGTTCCCACTGTTTCAGATGAAATATTCTTTGTTTGTTTCTTGTTTCTATTTTCATAAAATAGTTTCTATACCAACAGGAAAACCCCCATCGAGGTGATCACATTATAATTAAAAAGAATAAAATAAAATATTAAATGGAACCCTTTGATGTTTCCTTTCAATGACAAATTTAACCTACAAAAAATCAGCTTCAAATATTCCAACCAAATAATACATATATTCTGCACGAAACTGGGAAAATGAAGACATAAAAATATTTTAATTGTTTTATTTTAATTATAATCTAAGCTTTTATTTGATATATGTACTGGGACTTTCATTTTATAAACATTACATTATAATTTCAATGATATAACTCCATATACTATTTATGTGCTATAAAATGGGGACACTTTTGCCACTTTTGCTGCCTTTAGATGGCAAGGAAGCATTCCCCAAATACATGTTATACTGAATGCTTAGGTTGTTTCCAATATTTTTTGCCATTATTTATCAATGATACTTTCATAATTCACTTTTGCAAATACTGAAAAATCCTACTGAATTGTCATTTGGATTCTCTAGCAAGCTGCTTTTCAGAAATTTTATTTGATTACAACATGGAATATTGCTGGTAATTTGGGTAAGAATGGTTACATTGACATAATTTCTAACTTGGATGAATGAACATTCTTATATCTACTGAAATTTTAGGACATTTATGGCTTTGGTATGGATTTTAGACAGCAAAACAGGACATGTATCTGTTTCTTGTGCTCAGTGTTTTAACTTATATTAGTTTTGATAAAAACACTCATGTCATCAAAATCAGAAGAGGTTTCCTGTGGCATTCATTGATGTTTTTGTTTATAGATACTAATGAACATACAAAGAAAGGATGTTCTACTTTGCTCTAGAAGTAATGTTCCCTGGTGTTGTTGTAACATAGGCAAGCATGTGTAAGCATGTGCTTTTGCACACACAGCTAGTCCATAACTAGCTCCTAAGATGGAAACTATGATATCAGATCTCTAACATGTCAAAGTGAGTATTAAAAAATAAGATACTTCTAGAAAATTACTAACATACTTCTCAATGCCAATTCGTAAGTATTTCATAATTTCTTTAGTAATAGATTTTAGTACTGTCTGGAAGGATTAAAACCCAATTAGAAATGATGTTTCATGGTATGTACTCACACATATATGGATTTTAGACATGGATCAGGGGAGTGTCAGCCTACAATCCCAGTGCCAGTGAGTCTGGGAAACAGGACGGTACCCAAGAGATATGCATGATACTCCAGAGAATTGAAATGAGGTAAGATCTCCTGAAGAGATTGGGAACTAGGGGGGAGGGAAGAGGGAACAACAAAAAGGAGAGGGGGAGAAGAAGGCATGGGAGATCAGGAAGGTTGAGTCGAGGTAAGAATAGAGGAGAGCAGGATGAGAGATACCATAATAGATGGAGTCATTATAGGCTTCAGGAGAGAGCTGACGTTAGTGAGATTTCCAGAGATCTACAAGGGTAACACCAACTGGCAAATTAAGCAATAGCAGAGAGACTACATTAATAGCTCCTCCCTGATGATAAGACTGATGACTGCCTTATATGTCATCCTAGAACCTTCATCCAGTGACTGTAAGAAGCAGAGGCAGATACCCATAGCTAAACACTGAACTGAACTCCTGGAACCCAGTGACAAGAGATGGAGGAGTGATGAGCAAAGGGGTCAAGACTGTGCTGGTGAAACCCACAAAGGCAGCTGACTGGTCAAGGAGGAGCTCTTGAACCCCAGACTGAGGGCTGAGAGGCCAACACGGGAATGATCCAGATTCCCTGAATGTAGTTTCAGTGAGGCCTCTGATATCTCTGGGACCTTGGGTAGTAGATCCGTGTTTACCATGGTGTATGAATGAACTTTGGGAGCCCATTCCACATGGAGGGATGCTCTCTCAGCCTGGACACATGGGAAAAGGCCTAGGTCCTGCCCTGGATGAAATGACAGACTCAGGAGATTCCCTCATGGAGGGTCTCACTCTCCCTGGGGAATGGTGTGAGGATTGGGTGGAAGGTTGGGGGAGGCTGGTAAAGGGACAAGAGAAGAAGGGTGGGAGAAGGAGCTGGGATTGACATGTGAAGCAAGAGTGTTTCTAATTTAAATAAAAACATTATATACATATATATATATGAATGTAACACATCCTTGCATAAGTAACTAAATTTTCCACAGCATAATCAAATTGTAGTATTGTCTAATACTACATAGACATTTTTTTCATATCTTAATTTCCTTATAGGGTAGAACAAAAAATAACATCATTACTGCTCTGGCATTCGGTCCTAATGTTAGAGTGAAGTAGATTATAACTTGATGTCAATAAACATTTAATTTTCTTATATTTTTTGCAAAAAAAAGTTATTGTAAGATGTCTAAAGAAGACAAGACCATGTAATTTCATTTACATAAAATATGTGTACACTAAGAATGACAAAGATAATTAATGATTCACAAGAACAAACTAGCAATGAGCTTACTAAAAGGGAGTATTACACCCAGAATTAGCATGTCTATTGGCATTGTCCTTGCTCAGCTCATGTTTAGGATGTCATTTGGAAATACTTTATGAGTGTAGCTGCTGACATTCCTAGTAGACATAGTCTCTCAGCAATATCCTTGAACCTCTGACTCTTATAATCCTTCAAACCCCTCCCCTTCAATGGCCACTTAGCTTAGGTGCAGTGTTTTGTAGATGCATCCATTGTGACTGGCACAACTCTCAGTTTGATTATCCATGGCAATCTATAATGGTATCTGTTGGAAAGACAAGTTTTCTTTATTTCAGGTGAGGACTACACTTACATGTGGATATAATGACAAATATTTGGAATGTAATTAGGGATTATGTTTGTTAGGGAAACATAGGGGAAGCCCAGGATGCCTTAATGCTACAAATAAGCAAACAAAAATCATACGGTCACTAAGGAATGCTGAGATGTATAAAAATAGACTACCCTAAGGATGAGCACACACCAATTTGTCTAAATGGTCATCCTTGAAACATACATACATGCAACATACAGACTGAGCAGGTTGTACTAACATATTTTGGGTGTGTGTGTGTGTGTGTGTGTGTGTCACAAGAATTGATGATAAAAGATGAAATGAATATTAAAAGATAAAGGTTTATATGAAAGGCATTGGAAGAAAGAAAGGAAAGGAGAAAGTTATATAATCAAAT